GATCTATTCAACCTTTCGCACTACTTTTTATCTTTTGGCCTTTCTCGCTTTACCCCTTTCTCCAAATTTGGGACTCTAATCCTTTGAGTCACAACCATAGCTTTATTTAGTAATTCTTTCTCATTTACACATCTTGAAGTATTTGAAAATATTTCCTTTCCACTCAAAAATAAAATATGAATAAACGTTTACGGCTTTGTGAAACTTTTTTTTGAGTTTATGACCTTGAAATAAATAAATAATAAAAAAATTAAAACATTTTTTAGTTTTGTTTACACGTTTATTGGGCCGCATTAGAACTTGCCTTGGGCCACGGGTTGGACACCCCTGCTTTAGAACATCTGCACATGCATTCTTGTTTTCACACATACGTGTGAAAAGATGTTGTTGCAATCGCAAGCTTCATTTCTGTGAAAATGTAGAGAGCTGAAAAGTCTAGCAAAATGCATAATTTCATATTACAAATCTTATGGATGAAAAGCAACAGTTTATCACTTTTTGGAAGGAGTTGGAAGGACAGGCATTTATTGCACTATTGAATGTTATAAAAAGAATGGAATTGAGGATTACAAGCTTCACACTGGATATTCAGGGACACTAAAGTCAAAAAATAATGATAACAAAGTAAAAGCTATGTTTCATAAGTACCCATCAATTTCTATAAGAGCTGCAGTCCAGAAATTGAAAATTTCAAGGTTCATGATATCCTATATTAAAACAAAGAAGCTGGGGATCAAGGTACATGTAAAATAATGTGTACCAAAGTACTCTAGTAGTCAGGAAATCTGAGCGAAGCCAGGATGCTGCAGAGAGTACGAAAAATCTTTTGAAGAAAATCTTCATTAATGATGATGAAATCTTCTCAAACTGCACTTTCAAAAATAACTACACTTTACCAATCTTTAATATGCAGTCTATTTTATTAATCGGTTTTGTTCATCATAAATCGAAAAATTGTTTGATCCTGATGAATGTCAATCAATTAATTGACTGAAAACATTAGATTATGTTAATAAAATAGACTGCATGTTAAAGATTGGTAAAGTGTAGTTAACTTCAAGAAATAGCATATAAGGGTGTTAAATGCAACTAATTGAATTTGTAAAGAAAGTAAATACAGTAATACCTCGACTTACGCAAACCCGTAGTTACGCGATTTTCAAATCTCATTGAGTCGTCTTTTGTTTGAGTGCCATGCAACTCTTGATTACTCACTCCCCCCACACTATTGTTCAGCTTACATGTTCGGTTGTGTCGCGTGGAATCGACACATAGCTACAATTTATTTTGTGTTATTTATTTCTGTGTTTGTTATATCTACAGAGACTTGAGAGACTCTATGTGGTGATTTCTTGTAACTGTGAACGAATCAGACGAATCAGATAAATGCCGAATCTAATAATAATTTCATACTGATTTGAACATATTGTGGCATTTATGAAATAAAAGCCTTCCAACACCATTGTAGGAAATTGCTCGTTAAATCATTATTGAAGAGGAATATTTTTTGAATCTCATAATATCTTTCATTAGTTTTAATCTTTGTTGCAGTGATTTTCTTAATTAAAATTACACTCTCAATTATACTTGAGGTTTTCTTAAAAATCTTTCAATGAAGTAGGGTAATGTTTTTTAAATAGAAGATTTTTAAGAAATAAACTCAAGTATAGTTGAGAGAGTAATTTTAATCTTTCATCCATTTTGTAGCATAGCAGTAGCTGGCATTGAAATGAGAAGTATGGTGTGCATCTTTTATTTATATCAGCAAACATAATATTGTACAATATAGATCACATGCGATATTGCCCCCATGTGGGCGTTTTTCCATATTCAGAGGACGATTAGCAACAATTTATATTTTGGGGGGTGAAAAACAATTTTCTGGGCGATATAGTAAAACATTATATTAAGAATAATTAGATATTTTATTTGTTATATCGTACAATAATTAAACAAATAACATTATTCTAGTCACTAGTCTATTCAATGCAGTACGAATTTGGCGTTAGCCTTGGCCCTCGGCATCGGAATTTTGTAGCGAAGGGGGAAATACTACGCAACGGTTTTATTGAAGGGAGCGACGATTTGTTAGAGGTTGAGAAACCTCTAACAAATCGTCGCTCCCTTCCATTGACAATTTGTAGAGAGGTTGATATAGATGATGGAATGCTGGTTCAACATTTTATTACTGTTACTTAAGTTATTGTGCCCATTAACACTAGATTTAGAAAACAAAATTCATTTTACAGCAAGTTTGCAATACTTTAGAATACCAGTGTGTGTATATAATATACAGTAGAACCTCCATTATCCGGACCTCCATTATCCGGATTTTCGATTATCCGGATTGTTCAAAATAAGCAAAAATTTTACGAATTTGCTGATTCGCACTTGGCAAATTATGACATTGTTTATGTACGTAATGGAATGCATAATTTTTTTGTTTCAACAACGTCTCACCCAGCACAGTGGTAGTAAACTCTTAAATATATTTTACGTAGTAATAAAAATATAACTTGACATACGTATTTATAAATAATTTATATTCAAATTACATCATTTCTATGACCAAGGGTAACGTAAGGCATGGACGAAGTGGGCCACTGCCTATGCCTCGCGGTCCGAAGGGCCTCGCGCCTCGCGCCTCGAAGGTTTACGCATTATTTAAAAGCCGCGAACGCGACGAAAAAATTTTACTCGTCATAAAACGATAAATAGTTTGTCAAATTTTTATTCATAAAAATGCAGTTTCAACTGCTTTTTATTTTATAAAATCCGTCTTCTTGCGCCACCAGAGGGCCTTTTAAACAATAGGTAGTTTGTTAGCGTTGGTCAGTAGTAGTCCAAATTCAATACGAACGTTTGTTTCTTGAAAATTTGATCACGATTTAAATACAGTATTCGCTTTTAATATTAACGACATGTCATCGAAAAGAAAACGTGTTGTGTTATCATTAAAAGACAAATTAAAGTATTTATTTCGATTATCCGGATTTTTCCGTATCCGGACTACCTTCATCCCCAATTAGTCCGGATAATCGAGGTTCTACTGTAATTTACATACATCTTAGGCAGCATGTTCATATTTGTATAGATGCCATTTGTTGAAAATTGTGACACATTTTTCAGTCACTCCAATAGTTTAATTGAATCTATAATTTTGAATTTTATTTTGTTTTCATTTTAATTAAAAACAATTGGGACATATTTGGACACAGTGGAGAAGAATGAAATTACAATAATTTATCAAAGTCATGTTATAGTAACTGATACTAATAGTGGTTTTATACACTCACTGCCAAAAGTTAAGCACGGAGCAATAAACTGCGAAAAAATCGACAAATACAGCTGTGATTGACACAAAATGCAGCAGGACAGTAGCAAATATGTTTATGCATGAAACAACACAGAGAGTTACATAGAAAAATGAAAACAATATTGAATTTTCATAAAGTATAAGATGAAATCATATTGGAATCATTAACAAAACGATGTTTAAATCCAAAACAAACAAACAAAACCGACATTAGTAGGGTAAATGGTCACCCCTTATCCTTACACAAAGTTTACAGCGTGTAACCATGCCTACCATGAGGTGATCAATTACTCCAGAGTCAAATAAGTGCCATTCCTCCTGTAGAGCAGTTTGCAACTATGTGAGAGTGGCAGGGGGTGGGAAACATGCACACACAGCACGGCCGAGGGTACCCCAAAGATTCTCAATGGTATTGAGGTCTGGCGAATACGCCGGCCAATCCATACGCGCTATTCCTTCACTCTCGAGGTAGTCGTCGACGAAGGCAGCTCTATGGGGTCGTGCGTTATCATCCATTAAAACAAAAGCAGGACCAACTGCTGCAGCATACAATTTCACAGTGGGTTCGAGGACTTCATCCCAATACCGGACAGCCATCACAGAACCCCCTCGATACATGTGCAGGTCGGTGCGATATCCCAATGAAATGCCTGCCCACACAATAATGCTTCTACCTCGGAATGCGTGATGCTCGATGATGTTCTGGGGTCGATTGCGTGTGCCTTTTTTTCTCCACGCTCTTACACGTTTGTCATCTGGCTCCAGGGGAAATCGCAACTCATCCGTGAACATAACGTTGTCCCAATCAGACACAGTCCAATTCACATGTTGCCGACACCACTTTAATCGTGTGCCTCTGGATTGGACGGATAGTGGAACACAAACTCGTGGTACCTGGGCGTACAGTCCGTTCATGTGTAGCCTTTGGCGCACAGTAGTAGCAGATATCGTTTTACCAATGGCTGCTGCAACCATCGATGTCACACGTGTAGAGGTTGCTCTTCGATTCCGCTTGGCTACAAGAGCAATATAGCGATCTTCTGCAGGGGTCGTAACTCTTGGGTGACCGGCCACAGGTCTTCGGACAACTGTTTGGCTTGTTTGGAATTGTTTTCATAACCGTGAAATGACGGAATGATGAACGCTGAAGAAAAGAGCAACATCTGTGATTGATTGTCCTGTTTCAAGGCATCCCACACACTGCCAGCGCTCACTGTCTGTTATTCGTCTTCTGGAAGTCATAGAAACACGTCAGTCATGCACAGTAATTGTACAACAGTTCTCCACACTTTTTCTCGGCACTTACATGCAACTCCTCTCACACTTCAGAAGGCTGGCTTCTTATACGACTGCCTGTTTTGCATATTTCGTGACACGTAACCTTGATTGATAGTAACGTAACATATTTGCATGCTTCCACCTACCTCTGCAGTGAATTGCAGCCTGTCAAATGCAGATTGCTTTCCGGACATGAACATTTTCTGCTCCGTGCTTAACTTTTGGCAGTGAGTGTAAAATTAAAAGTGATACACATGCATTTAATTAAATTAGCTAATTTGTTGATTTAACAGTTTAATGTATGCTATTTAGTTTATACTATTACAATACTTTTTATTTTTTGCTAACATAATTATTAAAATATTTAAATTTACTTAATCTAATTGTGTTTGTTTAAAAATTTCAGAAACAAACGTGATTTCTCATGAGGACATTCACAAGGTAGAAATTTGTGCAGTGTAGTATATTCGAGGCGAAAATGGCTACCAGCCTCGATGCGTTCATTCCACAGCTTAAAAGCCAAGATACGAAAAAGCGCTTGCAACTTGGAAGTGACATACTTAATTATTTAGAAGATCCAACCAATTCAGTAGAAACTGAAGACTTAGGATTTTTCATTGATTCTTTAGTGTCATGGCTGAATAGTAGTAATTGCAAAGTAAGTTTTTTTTTAATTATTAGGTTATTATGGTTAAGAAAGTTATTTTAATGTTGAAAGGTTTAATTTTCTGTTAATTAGATTTTTGTTATTATATATCTATATTTCGAATTTTTGGTGTGACTAAACAGTAAATGTAATGAGTATCCAAGCAAAAACATCTGAGTTGTAAAAAAATTTTGCCAAGTAAAAATTTATGACAATTTAGATGATGGTCAAAATTTTTCTTAGGAGTTTTGTTTTGGTAAAGATAAGCTTGGCACTTAAAGGCAAAATGTAAGGTAAATACAGGTAAAAAATTTTGACAGTTGTCTAACTTGTTACACATTTTTACTTGGTGAAATTTTTTTTTACATCTCAGATGTTTTTGTTTTGATATCAATTGTTTTTGTTTAATAGTTGTATTATTATGTCAAGACATAAGATCAGTCACTGACCAAATGCACTATCAACTGAATGCTTTCAATATTCATTCTGATTGGCGCTGACTGAATAATTCATCGACCAATGCGCTGCCAGTTGAATGTGCTAGTGACCAATGCTTTTGATATGTTATTTAGAAAAATTGTTATAAAAAGTTTTAATTGGCAAAAATTTGAGCTCTTGTAATTCTGAGTAACATTTTGTATAAATTTGTTTGTTTCCAATCAATTTTATCTTTATAAGCATAAAATTAAGCCATAAAACTGAATTAGTTTAAGAGAACTTTGACCTATTGACCTGGAAGTTTTGCGAGCACCTCACTGATAATGAGAAAGGCTTAAGTTTAAAATTTGAGCTTTCTAGACCCAGTATTTTTTTCTATGAGTGTCTGCAGTGCTGAATGAAGAGGAATATACATCTTTTTTGACAATTTTTGCACTTTTTAATTGTTTATATTTCGGCAACTGCTTTATAAAAAATCTTGAAATTTTGCACACTACCTAAGAAAACAGTTTTCTTTTTGAACAAGATATTCGGAATTACTTTAGGTGTTTGGGAATGGAGAAATTGACCTCTGAAAATCGGCAACTCTGTTTCTTGTATATATAGTCAGTGACTTTTTTACTTGGCAGGGGAGTCAATGCCATGACTCCTGATACAATGATCTCATTTACAATAATCATTCATTAATTAAGATATTGATTTGTTCAATTAATTTCCCATAAATTTTAAAAATTTCTGAATAAACTGTTTAATTAAAAATAATTGTTACAAAATTGAATAAACTAAGTTAGAATTGAACTGAAAACTAGTTAATTGTAATTTTAAGACTTTATAAAGCTAAAAATTATTGAATAANATGTAAAAAAATTAATTTAATGTATATCTGAAATTGCTTGGTTATTTTACTTTACAATTTAAATGCTTAATATAAATTTATCTTTTAACATATTGTGATGTACTGTGTCAATATTTTTGTTGAGAAATCAGAAATTATTGAATATTAATTGATTTTGAAAAGAATACATTCTATTATATTTTTGAAAGAATGAATTACATCTGTAGATCGATTGATTATATTAAAAATCAATATTCAGATCTAATTGAAAATTTATTGATAATGTCATAATAAAATTTTGTGTAGTGATTTAAATAGAATCCATTGTACTTTGCATTTCATACATAATTCATAGTGATGATAAAGATGATGAAATAATGAAAATAAACTGGATGAAGTAAAATAAAATTATTTAAGTTTTAAGATAAATACATTTAATATGTTTATCTGCTTGCTTATTCAAAAATGATGATAATTATAAATTTTGAAATATGTTTGATAGAAAGTTGTTAAATATTTAAGTTGTCATTCAATGTTAGTTATTTAAGGAATATTTTTTAAATTAAATATACTGTTTGTTAAATGTTTGTGGTACATTTAAGAAACAATGCATTTAATTTAAAAAATATTTCTTAAACAACTAACATTGAATGACAACTTAAATTTAAAGAAAAGAATTAAGGAAAGTCAATCATCTTTTTCTATTCAACAACAAAGATAAGATCAACAGGAATAGAGCCCCAGGGGTATATTTGGTCCCCATATTGGACAATAGATTTGAAAGAGATCTTGCATATGTGGGCACTACTAAGAGATTATGGACCTGTAGAATTAAATAGCATCAACAAGACATCTCTAATAAAAAACTAGTAACAACTCTGGCCTAATATGTAAGTGAGCCTGGGTGTCAGTCATCTGGGATAAGACAAAACTCATAAAGGAAAGTCTTCAGCATTCAAAAACTAAAAACCTAGGAGGCCTGGAAAATTTTTAATGCATCAATCGATGGAAATAGCATTACTAGTAAAAACTGTGAGACAATATCTGCCACATGGTAGTCATTGGTTGATAACCCTCTAAAGACAAGCTGATAAATGATATTACAACAAGATGATACTACAGATAAGTTTTTGTACTATGCATGTGTATCATTTTGTCATAATAATTTTGTCTAATTTTTATTGTATAATAATAATTTGTAGAGTATATGTAAAATGTAACACTCGTTAAATATTCAAAAATGAGTGGACATCAAATAGAAAATAATTTTAAAAAACATTCTGCAAAGTTCAGCAGTTGATGCAGACCCCTAAAAGAGACCAAAAACATTCCGTTTTGTATTTAATTCAAATACATATTATTTGTGAAAGATTGTATTCATGGTATATAGTGTTTAATTTAGTTGAATATATATATTAAATGGCATATATAAAATGGTTCACTCTAGGTTCTCTTTTTAATGATTATGCTGACTGGCTAATTAATTTGATGAATTAATAAGACAAAATAATGAGCAGGAATAAATATATTTAAATTGTAAGATCCTATTTGCTGTTGCAGAAAAATATTGCAGAAAACAGAAAAATATTCTATTTCTGTAGCACGGAAAGAGTCCAGAAAATTTGATCGTAAAATATTTTAATGTTTTGTTACATATAATGATGCTTACTTGATAGCCAACAGAAGTGAGAGTGGTTGTGGCATTAATAGATTGACTAGTCAGATATGATGAAACCATGTGAAATGTCAACCACTTAAAAGATGTGTTGTAAATGATTGATGCAAGCAATTTTGTGAGTGAACAAGCAATATGTTTGTTTCACATACTACTGTATTAGAAAGCTTTTAGAAATTTACTAATAATTAAGTCTTGAAAAACAAAGCAGAGGTAATCATAAGTGAGAAGATTTGCGACTGGTGAATAGTTTGGTAATTAATATTATTGTTGTCTTCGAATTCTGACATTATTCCAAGGCATCAATAGTAGACTTTATTTGAATTTTTCTGCAGAAAGGAACATTGTTTTTTCAGAAAACAGAATTAAAGTGTTTGTTTTCTATTTCTTTTTCCATTGTAATTTTTAAGCAAGTGGAAACTGTGCTTTTTTATGATGATTGATTGTGCTTGAAAACAAAATTCTGCTTGTGATAATTTTCAGTGATAATTTTTTTTTGCAAGTGAGAATTAAACTTCATTGTTATTGTACATATTGCTGATTTGTTTGTATTAAATATAATAATAATGGTGCTTTGTATTTATTAAATTACAATTAAATGAGTACAAAGTTAAGTCATAAAATGACAACTATAGTAGTGAAGAAATTAGTTTTTTATTATAATCATTGATGGAGAGAAATATTAGATGTTGGCTCGTATGGTGAATTAACTTCTGTACAATCTTTTTCAAATGTCCTTTAATGTAAGTTTTTTTTATAAACATAAACTGTACTTACAAATAATAGAAAATATAATACTATGAAGTAATATATATTTTTTTTCACCTGGAAAATATTTCTGCAAAGAACAGTGATTATAAATATTAACCAATGAGTATAATAAATAGCAAACTAGTCAGGACAAAGTGTAAAGCAGTTAATTAAATTCAACAGATAATTTAGATATAACTTTAAAACTAACTGAGATCATTTCTGAATTTGGCTTATTTTGATATTTTAAATGAAGATAATAATGCAAAAAACATTTGTAATTGAGCACATAATGAAGACAAAATTATATACATCAGCAAGTAATTTACTGTAAAAACAAATGTTAGCAATCACTTTAATTAGTCCAGAGTAATTGAAAATTAAGCTTGTATTGTACAGTTGATTAAATATAAATTAAAATTAATTTAAATATAAATTTTCATAAGTAAATTTAGTACAGTAAATCATTTATTCATTAAATCAGTTTTAAAATTATAAAATGTAGGTATATATATATAAACTGATTTTTATTCATGCTTCTAAATTATATGTATATTTCATTAATGATAAAAACATCTATTATAAATTTTCTCAAGATATTTTAACATTAAGTGAATGCTTGAAGAATTGATTTTCTAGATATGTAAAAAAATTAATTTAATGTATATCTGAAATTGCTTGGTTATTTTACTTTACAATTTAAATGCTTAATATAAATTTATCTTTTAACATATTGTGATGTACTGTGTCAATATTTTTGTTGAGAAATCAGAAATTATTGAATATTAATTGATTTTGAAAAGAATACATTCTATTATATTTTTGAAAGAATGAATTACATCTGTAGATCGATTGATTATATTAAAAATCAATATTCAGATCTAATTGAAAATTTATTGATAATGTCATAATAAAATTTTGTGTAGTGATTTAAATAGAATCCATTGTACTTTGCATTTCATACATAATTCATAGTGATGATAAAGATGATGAAATAATGAAAATAAACTGGATGAAGTAAAATAAAATTATTTAAGTTTTAAGATAAATACATTTAATATGTTTATCTGCTTGCTTATTCAAAAATGATGATAATTATAAATTTTGAAATATGTTTGATAGAAAGTTGACCATGTTTAGGAATGGTTTTGTTTGCGTTAATGTATTCAAATTAGCAATGAGAACCAAAGGAAGATTCTCATTGCCAGTGTGAGACTAGCACAGAAAGGGAAAATGAACTTTTATGCATTTACGGACAAATACAAACAATAAAGATATTGAGGAATGAAGATAAACAAATCAATGTGACTAGCA